TGTGAGAGAGTTTTTGGGTCTTGGTCCTGGGCCTCTAATGGTTCCCTTTGCCTTAGAGGTACACGTATTATTATGGCATGGAACCCCGTCTATGTTGATATGATGCTCCTAAATGCCACAAATTAGGTGATGCATTTTCAGGTTAAGATCCGTGACTCCTCTAAGATTATGTTCCTTTCTGTGGTGTATGCGGATAATTACCATATCGCTCATCGCCAGTTATGGGCTTCCCTCAAGGGTCATAAACATGTCGTTAAGGACACCCATGGTTCATCATGGGCGATTTCAATGTTGCCCTTGACCCGAAGGACAGTTCCTCTGGCATCTCGGTCCCTAATCATGGTATGGATGATTTCCGTGATTGTGTCCGACATCTTGAGGTGGAGGATGTCAATTACAAGGGTATGTTATTTACCTGGACTAAAAACCCCAACGGTACGGGAGGTCTTCTTAAAAAGATTGACCGTGTCTTGGGCAATCTTCATTCCCTTGCTCGCTTTCCTTCTGCTTCTGTTGTCTTTCTCCCCTATCGGTCTTCGGATCATAGCCTTATAGTTCTTACTATTCTGTCTCAGTCTCCTTGTAAACCCAAACCTTTCAAGTTCCCTAATCTTCTTACGTTTAAAGAGCCGTTTCTGAATGTTGTGTCTTCCAATTGGTGCCCTGATCTTATTGGTCGTGAGATGTATAAGATTTCTCAAAATCTTAAAAATCTCAAAGGACCCCTTCGTAAGATGCTTAGTGATCAGGGTAATCTTCATTTTAAAGTTGCTAAGTTACGGCTTGAGCTTGACAGGGTCCAGATTGCTCTAGATAGGGATCCTGATAATGGGGACCCTCCGAGAGGAGCATTGTGGGTATTTATCTGCCTACAATAGTGCCTGCCACGATGAGGAGCGGTTCCTGAAGCAAAAAGCCAAGATCAATTGGCTCTGTGAGAGAGACCAAAATTCTTCCTTTTTCATAAGTCGGTCAAGAGTCGTATCAACAAGAATCGCAGCGATACCATTCAAAATGCTGACGGTCTCTGGGTTTCTAATGATGAGGTCCCCAGTCTTTTTGTCTCTCACTATGAAAACTTCCTCGGTACTGCTCATCCCTCCCTTCCTATTCATAATCCAGCCTTCCTCTTCACCAGAAAGTTTAATGCCAATCAAGCCGCCATGATGCTTCCTCCTGTTACTGACTCCGAGATCAAGCAGGCCCTTTTTCAGATGGGAGATGATAAAGCTCCGGGGCCTGACGGTTTCACTTCTAAGTTTTTCAAAGCCGCTTGGAGTATTGTTGGCAGGGATGCGTGCTCCGCCATTCGTGAATTCTTCATGAATGGTGAGTGTTAGCTCTCATTTCTCTTAATGTAAAAGTATGAAAAAAAGTAAATACTGCAAGTGTTGACAGAAGAGGTTCCACCACAGAAGACCACAGAGGACCAACAACAGAAGGTGTTCTATCGTACAAGTGAAGTGTGACAGAAGCTCTGTTGTCTACCACAGAGGTTCTGGAAACCGGTCATCTGTAATCAAAGCATACAAGTCAAAGATGACATAACCTCTGTTGTCTATCACATAGGTTCTGGAAGATGATCCTCTGGAATCAAGTGCTCTCAAGTCACATCCAGCAGAGACTTTGGGATGGCTCACAGAGGGTCTGCAGYTTTATCTTCTGTGAAGAACTTCTTTACTGTTTTACTTAGGTTAGTTAGATGCTCGTGCTTATCACGTGACTGTTTGTAATCTGCTTTATTTGAACGGCTTAGATTAATTTGTACGTCTAGGTCTTGTCAGAAAAGCCGTTAGGAACGAGTATAAATAATAGCTTAGGCCTTTGTAATTCAGTGTGCTTCCATATCGTATTGTAAACATTTTCAATCAATTGAAAATCATTTGAAGCTTCTCTCTAGTGTTCTTCATTCATCAACCGTGTTCTTCATTGATTTTTACTCTGCTTGTTCTTATTGCTTCCACTGCACTAATACTGTCAAATAGATCATCCAGAGTAAGTGATTAATATCCAAATCTGAGTTAATCGATCCTATCAATTGGTATCAGAGCAGGAATCAAATTCTAATTTGATTTATTCTGTTCTTGGTATTAATCTTCATTCGCTCAAGAACAACAGTCGTCTTCTTCAGGTTACCCTGTTTTTCACTATTTCATCTGTTCTCTTCTTATTCCTATTTTTCTTCTTCTTCCAATGGCGAATCAAGCCAATACTTCCTTTATGAGCACTGGTTCACAATCGAAACCTCCCACGCTCATACGTGAGGAGTACCCACAGTGGAAAGTTAGAATGGTAAATTTTCTGGAAGACATTAATCCACGGATTTGTGAATTTCTGTACAATCCTCCTTATGTTCCCATGAATTTAATTCCTAGACTACCAGCAACTGGAACAACACCAGAAATTCCCGAGCACTATGAACCACGTCCTGAGGTGAACTGGAGCGATGAGGACAAGATCATGGTCGAGTTAGGAAGTAAATGTAAACGATTGTTGATTATGGCTATTCCTAATGAAATCTTCAAGTGCATTGATCATTGTCAACTGTCCATGGACATATGGGCAGAACTGGAGAARCAAATCGAAGGAGGAAGGAAAACGCTTAAAAACAATCAATCAATATGCATTGATGAGTATCATAGCTTCAAGGCAAAAGACGGTGAGTCGCTGTCGGACACATACTCAAGACTGAACACGTTAATCAACAACTGCAAGAGGTATGGTGTCACGAGAACGTCAGAAGAGAATAACTCTTTATTCTTGAAAAGCCTTGGGGTTGAATGGATGCATCTCTCAATGTCCATGAAAGCCACCCTAGACCTGGAATTGTGGACTCTAGCAGACCTCTTTGGCTCTCTAAAAAGCCAAGAGCCACAAGTTCTGCAGATGAAGAAGAACTACGGTGGCCCTCTAGCTCTAGTTGCAGAGGAAGGATGCTCTGGGAAGGGAAAGGAGGCATAGAAGGAAGAGAAGGAGAAGAAGAATAAGAAGAAGAAAGTTTTGATTGCAGAGAGTGATGACAGCTCTGAGGAAGAAGTCTCCATGAAGGAGATGATGAAAACTCTTGCCTTGATCACTAGAGAGTTCAGGAAGGGTGGAGAGAGGAAAGAGTTTAAAAGTTTCAATCGAAGAAACTTTATAGAGGGAGAGAGAAATGAGAAAAGAGAGAAGGAACAGAAGCCCTTGCAGAGGGTTGAAGAGCAAAGGAAGGAAGAGCCTAA